CGGCGANCCCGCCGCCGCCGCCGCCGCCGCCGCGACGGTTCAGACTCCGAATCCGAATCGTTCCCTCGGTTCGCGTCCACTCCCGAGGCCCCCTCCGCCACCGAGCACCACTTCGCCGCGAACAGCGTGAACCCTTCCGATCGAAAGTGGGCGAAGCGCATCACGAAAGAGTGGACGCTCTTGCGCGACGCGCTGCCTTCGACGATTTGGGCGCGCGCGTACGAAAGCCGCATGGACCTCCTCCGCACCGCGATGCTCGGCCCGAGCGGGACGCCGTACCACGACAACCTGTTCTTGTTCGACTTCCACTTTGGGGAGAACTACCCGAACGACCCGCCGGTCGCGCACTATCACTCGCACGGGTTCAGGGTCAACCCGAACCTGTACCAGTCCGGGAAGGTGTGCCTCTCGCTGTTGCACACGTGGCAAGGCAAGGGCTCGGAGGTTTGGAACGCGGAGACCTCCAACATGCTCCAGGTCCTCGTCTCCATCCAGGGTCTCGTGCTCGTGGATAAGCCGTACTACAACGAGGCTGGGTACGAGGCGCAGGTGGGGAGCGAGGAGGGCGAGCGGAACGGCGCGCAGTACAACGAGCAAGCGTTTTTAGCGTCGGCGAAGAGCATGTTGAGCCTGCTGAAGAAGCCGCCAAAACATTTCGAGCGGCTGATTCGCGAGCACTTCCGCGCGCGGGGTGGCGTCATCGTGCGCGCGTGCGAGGCGTACCTCGGCGGGTGCCCGGTCGGCGCGTACGTGGACCCGGAGGACGAGAAGAAGAAGAAGGAGGAGGAGGAGGAGGAGGAGGATGCGGAGGAAAGTCGCGGCGACGGCGGCGGCGGCGGCGAAATCACCGAGGCGGAGGAGCCGCCCGCCGCCGAGCGCGCGCCGCCGTCCGGGGGGTTCAAGCTTCTGCTCGAGAAGCTGCTTCCGAAGCTGCGGGCGGCGTTCGAGGAGAACAGCGCTCTCGCTCGATAGTTTGACGCGCACGATAGTTTGACGCGCGCGATAGAGCGAGCGGAGACGAGGGCGCGATAGATGTGTACGAACGTAGCGGCGGAGAGACGACGTGTGAAAGAAACTGAGATGACTCGACGCGTCCTTTCGTCGACTCGCGCTGTTCGTCAAAACCGAGAAACAACGAGAAAGAACGACGGTCACTTCACTTCACTTCACGCCGTCCCCGCGCGCCGCCACCTCGCATCACGCGACGATGTCTTCGCCGCCAACCCAAGAAACGCCCGTCGCCTTAGAGCTCGTGCAAACGCTCCGCGAGATGCGCGAGATGCGCGCGACGCTCGCAAAGAGAGACGCCGAGCTCGAAGACGGAAGGGCGAAACGTGCGAAGCTCGAAACAGAGTGCGACGCCACGAAGAGGGAGCTCGAGGCTTTGCGACGACAACATCCTGTTCTCGACGCCGACGGGGTCGTAGCGTGTGCGATCTTCGCGCACGTGAGGGACCCGAAGGACCGCATCAGGCTCGCCGCGGTGAGCAAGGTGTTCCAAGAAGCGGAGAAGGCGGACGCGTCTTTGCCCGTAGCACCCAGTGAGTTGCGGAAGCTCGGGGATCGTTTTACGAGTAGGAGGAAGAGAAAGGACAACGTGAAGAGGAACTACTGGTACCGCGCGGCGGCTGATCGTGGCGACAGTGAAGCCGTGTACTCGATCGGAACGTGGTACTACTCTGGCGACGGCGTGAAGCGAAACCGCTCGACGGCGTGCGAGTGGTTCAAAAACGCGTCAGAGTTGGGGCACGGTCTAGCGACAGGCGAGCTCGCACGTTGCTACGTGAACGGCCACGGCGTGAGGCGAAATGAGAAGAAGGCGATCGAGCTACACACCAAGGCGGCGGGGCAGGGTAACCGCGAGTCCGCGGATTATCTCGGGGGCCTCTACGACTGCGACTGCGGCTACTGCGACGACTGCGCGACGGCGTGGCGGTGAACAAAACGGAGGCGCTGAAGTGGTACCGACTCGCGGTGGAGCTCGGCGGTGCCAACGCGCGCCGGTGGGTGAACATAATCGAGGCCGAGCTAATGTGCTCGGGGTGAGCGAACAACGCGTGAACGAACGAACATCTGCATGAGAAAGCGAACGCGCGCTTGTCTCGCGCTTCGTCCCTCCGCGCTTTGCTCGCCTCGCCTCTCTCCGCTCCGACGGCGTTGTTATTTCCGTCACATCAAATCGCGCTTCTGTTGATGAGCGTGAGTTCAGCGACCATTTCGAACTGACGCGCGCGCACAACGACCGACGCGGCGCCGGCGTCCTCCGCACCTACCGCGCGGAGGATGGCGCCGCTTCTGAACTACGCGCTCGCGCTCGTCCTCGGCGCGTACCTCGCGCTGTGGCTCACGTCGCGATGGTTCCTCCCGCGGCTGATATCCTTCGTGGTGCGCGCGCGCGCGCGCGCTCTTTTTCCTCCTCCTCGTCGACGCGCTGCCGCGGGTGCCGAGATGGCCGGGCGGCGCCGCGCGAGATCTCGCGCGTCGTCGCCCGCGCGGCGTCGTTCGTCGCCGTCGTCGCGCCGCGGCGCGCGGGGATGGCGCGCCGTGATAGCGCGCGCGGTCGTCGCGCGGCGCGTCGCGCGTCGTCGCGCCGCGTCGTCGCCAGATCCCGCGCGTCGTCGTCGTCGTCGTTCGCGTCGTCGTCCATTTCATCCTTCCTCGCGAACGACCGACGAACCGTCATCATCCGACGCCGACGCCCCCTCCCCCCCCCGCCCCACCCACCCGTCCACACAGGTCCGACTCTCGTCCACGCGCGGCGTGGACGTCGCCGTCGGCGCGGTCGGCTTCATGCAGCTCTCGGACATCGTCGTGACGTTCCCTCGCGGCGCGATCGCGCGCGTCGTCGTCGCCGACGTCCTCTACACCGGCCAGGTGGTGACGCTCCTCGCGTGGTTTCGAGAGTTTATCGGATCGCGGCTGCGCGGCGCGAAGCTCCGCGACGCGCTCGCCGCGAGAGACGACGAAAACGGCGGCGTCGACGGCGCGAGTTACTCCGGGCCGCTCGGGAGCGCGAGCAGGGTGCGCGAGTTACTCCGCGCGGAGAGCGGCGGCGGCGGAGGAGGAGGAGGAGGCGGCGGAGGGAACGCCGCGTCGCCGTCGCCGTCGCCGCGAGAGGCGTCCGACGAGCCGGAATCCCCCGCCGCGGCGGCGGCGTCGCTCACGCCAGCCGGCGGCGCGGGCGGCGGCGTCGCCCGGACGTCCTCCGCGGCGTCGGCGTCGGCGTCGTCGGAGGGAGGCGGGGTCGGGCGCGGGGGCGGCGCGGGTTTCAGGCGCGCGTCCGCGCGCGCGGCGCTCACGATGCAGGTGCCGTTTCTCGTCGCCGGCGTTCGCGTCGTGTTGAGAGACGACGCGTCGTCGTTCGGCGGCGGCGGCGACGACGGCGATTCGACGCCGTCCACGCCGACGACGCCCGACGACGCCGTCGACGGCGCGGCGGAGGAGGACGCGGAAGGCGGCGAGCGCGAAAAGAACACGAAGAAGAAGGCGACGAAAGGGTGGAAGTGGAGCCGGTGGCAGCTCCTGAAGGGCTTCGCGTCGTTCGCGCGCGTGACCATCACGGACGTCGTCGTCGACGCGTCTGCGCTCGGGAAGGGCGTTCACGCGACGTCGAGGGTCGCGCTGACCGCGGCCGTGGGCGTCGGCGCGAGAGGCGGGCTCCTCGCGCGGCTGGCGACCGAGAGCGTCCGCGCCAGCGCGGGGGGAGGGCCGGCGAAGGACGGCGAGGGAGAGGACGCGGAGGGAGAGGACGCTGAGGACCGGCGGGTGGGCGAATTCGTCGACGCGCGCGCGGACGCGACGCTTCGATGGCGCGACGACGGCGTCCTCGTCACGACCGCGGCGCTGAGCGTCGAGAGGATCGAGGGGAGGCTCGAGACGGACGGAGGCGCACAGCTGTGCGCGGACGTCGAGGGCGTGCGCGTGTCGTATCGCGTCGAGACGGAGGCGGAGGCGACGGCGGAGACCTCGCGGCGAAGAAACGCTTCCTCCTCCTCGACGTTGCCCTCGCACCAGCCGGACGAGAGCGACCCGGGCCCGCGCGCGTGCGACCGCGTCGTGATATCCGCGGGGATGAAACGCGCGCAGGTGGCGACGAGCGACGCCATCATGGGCGTCGGCGGGAGCGGCGCCGTCGCCGCCGCGACGCGATGCGGCGCCGCGTCGGTTCTCGCGCACGCGCCGAAGATACGACGCGACGGCGGCGAATTCGACGACGACGCGGTGGGGACGATCCGCGCGTACGCGTCCGAGGTGGACGCGTGTAATCACCCCGCGCTCGTGGCCGCGCTCGCGGGCGCGCTGGCGCGCTTCCAGCCGAGGAAGTCGACGGGAAAATCGACGAAATTAAAGTCAAATTCGAGTCGACGGCGCTGGGACGCAAAGGCGTCGTTCGTCGACGGCGTCCGCGCGCGCGTGCACGACGACGGACACCGCGTCTTGTGCGAAGCGACCGCGAGCGAGATCGTCCTGAGCGGGGATTTCGGCGCCGCGCGCGGCGGCGAGGCGCCGTCGCGCGCCGTCGTCGTCGCGGGCGCGCGCGTCGCCGCCGCGGTGGCACCCGCCGCGAGCGAATCCGGCGACGCCACTTCAGCGCCGCGAGGACCTGAACCACACGTCTTGAGACACGTGTGCGCGATCGACCGCGTCGGGTGCAGCGTAGGTCCGGTGTTATCCCCGACGGAGTTTCTCTACGAGACCATCGGCGCGAGAGGCGCGGGGGAGACGCCCGGCGGGTTAAAACACGAGCCGTCCACGAGGGGCGGCGCCGACGCCGACGCCGACGCCGACGCCCACCCGGACGCGGCGCTCGATCTGGAAATCATGGGCGCGACCGTGGACGTGGATGTGGACGAGCTCGCGTGCGTGGACGCGAGCGCGGCGAAAGCGGTCGCGGCGGTGCGCGCGTCCGTTGACGCGCTGAGAACAGCCGCGGGATCGAGCGTTTTGGAAAAGGAAAAATCATCGCAGCGGCGGCAGCGGAAGAGCCGCCGACGACGACCGATGAAGCGCGCGGTGACGCTGATCGACGTGAGCGTCCGCGCGCACGCGACGATGCGCCCGTTCATATCCCCGGAACTCGAATCGTCCACCACGGACGACATCCCGTTCCCACCGTCGTCGCGGTGCGCGTTGGACGTGACCGTGCCGCTGTCGCAAATCCAACTCGGCGACCTCGGCGGCGGCGCCGACGCCGGTTGGCGCCTCGAGACCAGCGGTTGGTACATGTCCTACCACGACGGCGTCGCCGCCGCCGCGGACCCGCGGAACCGCACCGCGGACGCCGCCGCGACCGTGCTCGGGATCGGCTCGATCGGCGGCGAGGGCCGCGTCGAGCTGTGCGCGGAGAGGAGCGGTCGCGTCGTCGTCGTCGAAAACGGCGCCTTCGACGTTCGCAAAGGCGGCGTCGTCGGCGCGGAAGTGGGAACGTCAACCGGCACGACGACGACGACGACGACGACGACGACGACGCGCGCGGTGTCCGTGGACGGCGTCTCGATCCACTGGCACCCGGACGCGTACTTCATGGTGCAGCGGACCGTCGCGGGGATCGTCGGCGTCGTCCGCGCGCGGCGGGAGGGGAAGGAGACATCGCCCAAGCCGAAGCCGCCGCCGTCGTCGTCGTCGTCGCCGCCGCCGCCGCGAAATGAGGCGCGTTCTATACACTGGTTCCCATACGACCGCGTTCGCGTGGTGAACGCCGTTTCTTAAGGACTTTTGCCGGCGTCTCTCTGCGCCCACCCCCCGCTTTCATTCCCCGTCCTCGACGCCTTTCAACGCCAACTGACGCCTTTCAACTCCACCCCGACGTTCGCTTGTATAGAACGGCCCTGAATCCGTCGTCGCGCTGGACCTCTCCCGCGTCGCGATCCACGCGGACGTCTCCCCCGGAAACTCCATCTCCCTCGCGTCGTCGTCGCTGCGCACGCCCGACGCGTCGCGATCGATCGAGCTCTCGACCCCGTGCGTCTCGATCAACGGGTTCAAAGTCGCCGCGTGCGAGTCGTTCGTCGTCGCGTACAACGGCCACGAACACGCGTCGGACGACAAACTCCCCGGGGGGAAGATTTTGCCGTGGGGATCCTCAGAGTCGACCGCAGGC